CAAGGGGAGGACTGTGGTGTAACGCGAGTAGTCGTCAACCACCAGCAGGAAGTAGCGCTCGTAACCCTGCCCACGGACGGGGGCTGGGCCCCACACATCCATGTGAAGCGTCTGCAGGGGAGCCTCTGTCGGGGGGAAGTGGGAGGAGTGAGGAGTAGCCCGGAGGCGACCCTCGACACAGGGGACACAGGAAGGTCCTGGCCCGGAGGGGAGAGGAGGGAGAGACTGGGGAAGACCAGAGACAAGGACACGGGAAGCCATGCTCCGAAGACGGGGCAAGGAGGGGTGGCCAAGACGGTGGTGCCACAGGAGAGTCTCGTGAGACAGGAGGCGACAAGAACAGGGGGCAGACTCAGGACCTGACCGGGACGCAGCAGCAAGCACCTGACCCGACGCAGCCACCTGACCAGACGCAGGGACAGGAGGAGACTCAACGGTCAGGGTGTAGAGACTCGACCCCGGCCGACGCGAGAACGTGGCCAGGTGTCGGCCTGTGCGTGCCTCCGTGCAGTGGGTCACCCGCTGACTCGCAGGAGTGAACTGGTCAACCCCCACATCCTGCAGGTCCGCTCCACTCACCAAGTTCGTAGAGAACGAGGGAAGGTACAGACCAGACAGGGTGCCCGAAGGGGCAGCCGGACACGGGAGGACAGTGGAGAAGTGAGAAAGGACAGGACCCCCAGAGGGGTCAGCAAGGGAGACCGCAACCGGCCGGCCGAGCGGCGTAAGGGTAGTGCGGTCTCGAAAGAAGGAGCGAGAAGCCCCGGAGTCAAGTGTGAAAGTGAGGGAGGACGAGGACGACGCAGTACCTGAGAGCGCAGTCTCACCAGTACCTGAGAGCGCAGTCGCACTGGCACCTAGAGCAGCAGCCTCACAAGCACCTAGCGCAGCAATACCAATGCCCGGGTCGGGCTGGAAACACCGGTAACCCTCATTCTCCTCACTATAATCCACAGCATACATAGCAGCAAGGATAGCATCAAAATCAAGATCAAAGATCGCTACACCAGCCCTTAGACGCTCATCCCAGCGAGGGATCTCACTAGCCCCAGGGAACTGCCGACGCCAAGCGTCCGTCAGGCGGCCAAAGCAGCGCTGAGTGGCGTGGGCACCCCCACACTGCTCACCCGCGCGGTCGCCTGAACGAAGAACGTAGGTGCAGGGACCAGTACCCCCACCCCTCTGACGCCCAGCGTACCACTCACGAAGCTGCTGAGGCGGAGGGATGTCCCGCGAGCGCTGCTGCTGCTGCCGCTGCGAGCGTTGGCCACCACCACCGCCGCTACGCTGCTGGGTACCACCCCGACCAGCTCCACCTCCTCCACCACCACCGCCTCCTCCGCTGCCGCCTCCACCCCCTCCACCTCCGCCGCCTCCACCCCCGCCGCTGCCTCCACCACCACCGCTGACACCACCACCACCGTCTCCGCCGCTGCTGCCACCACCACCACCACCCCCGCCACTAGTCCCGCCGCCACCCCCACCCCCTCCGCCGCCACCGCCGCCACCGCCACCGCTTCCTCCAGCTCCACCCGCGCCCTTGCCCCCCTTGCCCTTGCTGGAGCGACGTCTCCCACTAGGGGTAGACGCCGCGCCGACCGACTCAAGACCAAGCAGGTCGGCAGCAGCAGCAGAGGCAACAGAAGGCAGCAAGGGGGAAGGAGAGCACCCCTCAAAGATGGGGGTGCGAGGGTCACCACGAGAAGCACCTACAGCGACTATGCTCTTCTCCGCTGCGAGGAGGGCCTTCTCGAGGAGGTCGACGGTGAGGGTGGTGGGACAGACTACGAGAAAGTGGTCCCTGACGACGCGAAGGGAGTCAGGGAGGCGCGCAACTACGTAGTAGAGAGCGATGTACATGGGGGGTGGGTTCTTAGCGCAGAACTCAGCAGGAAGGGCGGCGCGGTAGCGAGTGTCGCTAGTGCGGAGGTGCGTAATGAGGTCAGCGACAGTGGGAAAGGCAGAGAGGTCAGGAAAGAGGTAGGGAAGCATGAGACGGCTCAGTGCAGCAGTGGCAGGGGAGGAGTAGCGCGCAACTACAGCGTCGTACAAGGTCTGAGCACTCTTGTACTGACTAAAGTGCGCACGCTCAGAGGTAGGGAGGTGGCGACGCACAGCAAGACGTGCAGCAGCATCGCGGGTGGCCCACTGAGAGCGGACAGTGGGATCAGCATCAGCAGCAGGAGCAGGAGAGGCGCCAGAGGTGAGGTCAAAGAGAGAAAGGCTGTCAGCCCTGTCGCACTGTAAGAACAGCTGCAGGTCGTCTAACCAGACCTCAAAATCAATGGCGCGACCCTCAGCGTCAAAAGCTAGGACACTAGGGGTAGCCATGACGACGACAGCGAAGCAGTGCAAGCAGTAGGGGAAGAGCACGCAGTGACAGTGCGACTGTGCTCACCAGGCAGGGCAGGCCGGGAAACTCTGCAGAAGGGCGGCTCGGCGACTCAGCGACTCAGCTGCTGGGCGGCTCGGCTCCCGGGCGGCTCGGCGGCAGGGCGGCTCGGGTGCAGGGCGGCTCGGCGCCCGGGCGGCTCGGCGGCAGGGCGGCTCGGGTGCAGGGCGGCTCGGCACCCGGGCGGCTCGGCGGCAGGGCGGCTCGGGTGCAGGGCGGCTCGGCTCCCGGGCTGCTCGGCGGTAGGGCGGCTCGGGTGCAGGGCGGCTCGGCTCCCGGGCTGCTCGGCGGCAGGGCGGCTCGGGTGCAGGGCGGCTCGGCTCCCGGGCGGCTCGGCGGCAGGGCGGCTCGGGTGCAGAACGGGGCCGGGACAGGGGACGGCGGGGCCGTCAGGGTGCAGCGGCGGGGCCGGCAAGGTGCAGCGGCGGGGCCGTGACAGGGGACGGCGGGGCCGTCAGGGTGCAGCGGCGGGGCCGGCAGGGTGCAGCGGCGGGGCCGGGACAGGGGACGGCTGGGCCGTCAGGGTGCAGCGGCGGGGCCGTCAGGGTGCAGCGGCGGGGCCGGGACAGGGGACGGCGGGGCCGTCAGGGTGCAGCGGCGGGGCCGACTGGTGCAGTGGCGGGGCCGTCAGGGTGCAGCGGCGGGGCCGTGACAGGGGACAGCAGGGCCGTGACAGGGGACGGCGGGGCCTTTAGGGTGCAGCGGCGGGGCCGGCAGGGTGCAGCGGCGGGGCCGGCAGGGTGCAGCGGCGGGGCCGGGAGTAGGACGGCGGGGCCGTCAGGTGACGGGGCCCGCTGCAGCGACGAAGAGGCCGCGCGGCCGGCGTGAGGGCGGCGCGGCGCGGCAGAGCCGAGAGGGCGGCGCGGCGCGGCCGTAAGGCCAGCGCTACGTGGGACCCGGGCCGCGCGCGCGAAAAAAAAAAGGGAGTCGCGCGCGCGACTCTCGGGGCGCCACAAGGGCAGCGCGACAAGCGCTAGGGGGGAGCGCGCCTCGGGGAGAATAGGGCGCGCTCCGGGCAGGAAAAAAAAAAATCGTGGGTGGGCCCTTAAAAAAAAACGGTCCTTAGGAGGGACCCGCTCTATACCATGTGAAAAAAATGAACAGGAATGAGAATGACTAAGGAAAGATTGGGTACAAATACAACCCTAGAAACCCTGTACCCCATATGTGCTACCCCACTATAGCCTACAAACATGCATCAGCTATAATACTCTGACAAAGATCCTAAGGGGCACTCAGCCCAACAACCAGGCCCTACGATATCAGGAATTTTACCCTGAAATTCCTGATTTTCAGGGTTTTTTTTTTACCTACCCTGAAAATCCAGTGTTCAGCTTTTCCTAGGGCGGATTTTTCAGCCTTCACATGCCACATGACTCTGAACTTTCAGCAATTTCTTTGAAGTGACACTGATGCCTTTACGTTGTAACGAGTTTGACCCTGAAAGCGAATCCTACTAGGTACGAGTGTACTTGACCGGAAGTACTGGGAAAATCAGATTCCCGCGGTGTCAGCAGGGCCTGTCGTTGACTATCGGACAATTTTGCCCACACTGATGGCCCCTTAGTTGGCGCGCCTGGTCCGTTCATCGGCCACATTTGCAACATTAAGTGACTTGACCAATTACAAGGTTGCAGCACAGAGATGCTGGCAGGCTGCGCTGCGAGGGATTCTGGCGGTCTAGGTCGTGCTGGCAAGCACTGATGCATCCACGCCTCCCAGCCGTGCTACCTGCCATCCAGCCTCACATCCCGTTCTGCTGTTTGCTTCCTTCCTAGTGTTTTTACTACTAGTAAAATAAAGACTACCGTACTAGTATCAGCCTTTTTCTGTAGGGAACACTGATGCATCAGACTTTTTTTTTAAGTAACACTGAACTTTCAGGCTTTTTTTTTAGGCGACCCTGACGATCAGGGTCTAGGGGCAGAGGGACCCTGATACCCTTACGTGCCTAAAAGTGAATCTGAGGGCCTGCCAACAGCGGAAACGTGTTTGTAGAAAAGAACAAGATGTAAATCTTGTATTGATAATTGAAAAGTAGAATGATGACACAATGACGATGGAGTGACACATCGGGGTATATGTGCATCCAACTACCCCTCCAGAATGATCCCATTCACATCAATAATGGTGTACCAATAATTGTACCCTCTACCTTCCAATAATGCAGGGCTCCAATAATTGTGGCTCTACAATAATTGTGACAATTATTGTAGGGCTTGAAAGCTTATAAAGAGGACTACACCAAAACCAAACATCACACTGGTATACAGTATTTGTTATACCGTACTGTATTCGGATTTCCAACAATCCCCACATCCATACCAACAACCTGTCAACAATATCATTTCAGTCAACTTGTCCCCATTCCCACCTCCATGTTGACAACTGTCAGCCATCTTACCATCCAAGAGGCACCTACTCAGAACGCCCTCCCATCGCTCTTCTCAGACACCTCTTTCCCAGCCTTGTTTTCCTAGCTGAAATCGGAACACACAGATTTACATGCTGCTGCCCACCAGCCTCGTAACAGAGTGACTTTTGTCTCGATTCGAAATTCCCCTTCCCCTCGTAACAGAGTGACTTGGTCAACAAGCTTTCCCATCGGTCATCTCATCCCATCCCCCTCGGACTCCCCATCCCTCTCGGACTTTGTTCCCGGCTGAAACCGGCAAACACAGTCGTACATGCTGCCGCCCACCAGCCTCTTTGCGAGCCGCTCGTTCTTTATCATTGCCAGCTGGCAGAGATTGGTTGGCAGGAGGGTTGAAAGTGGAGGAATGAGGCAGGGGGAAGGGGGAAGAAATGTCAGTAACGGGAACTGGGTGAGGAACATGGGGGACGGATTTGGTGAGAGGGGAAGGGGGCTTGGGAAATAGGGACAGGAGATGCAGCTTTTGGAAAGAACACAGTTGCAGACCTCGCATGTGCACGTATGCAACTGTCTGCACATGAGAAAATCTGAGAGCATTTCTGCACACGGCACAGTAAGAAGTCGCATGCCTTGGCACTGCCTCACATTCCATCTCCAACGCTAAGCTGTAGGTTGACCCAAAAAGTGTGTCTTTTGAGTCGACTCAAAAGATGACACAGAGGATGCATTACCAGTGAGAGCAGAGTGAGCTTAGTGATTACCTTGAGGTGTGTTGTGAGATTTCTCAAACGCACCTGCAACACGAGCCTAGGGATTACCTTGAGGTGTGTTGTGAGATTTCTCAAACTCACCTGCAACACGAGCCTAGGGATTACCTTGAGGTGTGTTGTGAGATTTCTCAAACGCACCTGCAACACGAGCCTAGAAATTACCTTGAGGTGTGTTGTGAGATTTCTCAAACTCACCTGCAACACGAGCCTAGGGATTACCTTGAGGTTTGTTGTGAGATTTCTCAAACTCACCTGCAACACGAGCCTAGGGATTACCTTGAGGTGTGTTGTGAGATTTCTCAAACTCACCTGCAACACGAGCCTAGGGATTACCTTGAGGTGTGTTGTGAGATTTCTCAAACTCACCTGCAACACGAGCCTAGGGATTACCTTGAGTGAGTCGCAGGTGAAGCGCGTGTCGTAGTTGGTGTGCAGACTGCGACCCATGCCTTCCAACACCACCTGCATGGGCAAGAATGGGCAAACGGACAGGATGAGATGTGGTGGGGAAAAAACGGATGAATGGCGATGAGCGCAGAATGCAAGGCCAACTGACAGAGCATTCACAGCACTCACAGCAGCAGTGCCCCACTTGCACTCACAGCAGCAGTGCCCCACTTGCACTCACAGCAGCAGTGCCCCACTTGCACTCACAGCAGCAGTGCCCCACTTGCACTCACAGCAGCAGTGCCCCACTTGCACTCACAGCAGCAGTGCCCCACTTGCACTCACAGCAGCAGTGCCCCACTTGCACTCACAGCAGCAGTGCCCCACTTGCACTCACAGCAGCAGTGCCCCACTTGCACTCACAGCAGCAGTGCCCCACTTGCACTCACAGCAGCAGTGCCCCACTTGCACTCACAGAACAAACCCTCTCAAACTCAGCATTAGTCCTCACTCACTCACAGCACTCCCACACTCGCGGAACTTCCGCACTCACAAGCAGCACTGCCCCTCTCCAGTCACAAGCACTATCCATTCCTCCAACACTCACGAGGTCAGCCCCCTGGCAGGCCTGGGCCAGCTCCCACGTGACTTGTCTGAAGTCAATGCACGGACTGCCCGAACCGCTCGCCACCACCGATAGAAACACTTGCCGCTGCTGCCCACCCTCCTGCTGCTGCTCCTCATCCCCCTGTTGCGCCTGCTGCTGCTGCTGCTCGTTCTCCTGATTCTGCTGCTCCTCTTGCTGATCTTGCACTGGCGCTTGCTCTGCCTGCACTGCTGCTTGATCCGACTGCACCAGTGGAGGGTCTGCCTGGCCCGCTGCTTGCCTCCCCTCCCCTTGATGCTCGTTCCCTCTCAGTTGCAAGTCTTGAGTCGACCTAGAAGCATCCTCTGCCATGACCCCGCCTGCCTCTGCTGCTGCTCGCAACACAGGACAGTGCTGATCAGGGTAGACAAGGGGGGAGGAAGGGGAGGAAAGGGAACAGCAGAGAACAAGGGAAACGAAGAATGTACACAAAGGCACAAAGAGGATGTTTCTGGAGCAAGAGACACAAAGGCTTGTTTGAGGCGAGCGAGTGAGGAGAAGAACGGGACGGTCGGGGGTCATAAGAGAACAGATCAAGCAATATGTTTTAGAAGGCTTGAGAAGGGAGCCACTGTAAGCAGCCAACATCAACACAAGGAGAGAATCTCTGCGGCGAATGGGGAGCACGTGTTGAGAATCTCTGCGGCGAATGGGGAGCACGTGCTGAGTTACGGTCTCGAGCTCTCACCTGCGCAGCCTCAGTCACCAGTGCCGAGACCACAGCAGATCAGCAACCAAACAGCACCCTGAGTAGGTATTTGAGTCGACTCAAGAATCGTTTCAATCAGCACCCAAACAGCACCCCAACTAGCTGCGCTATGGCCCGAGCTCTCACCTGCGCAGCCTCAGCCACCACTGCCGTGAGCTCGTCTGCTGTCACGTCGTTGATTGCTGGCAGCGAGTTGGCCACCAGCACCACCTGCAGGGCGAGAGGGAGCGGTGCGGAAGGGTGGTGAGGAGTTGAATTCAGATGCATCAAGCACCACACTGGCAAGGCAGTTGGTTCTGATGTAGCGTCCTTGATGGCTGGCAGCAAGTTGGCCACCAGGGCAACCTGCAGGGGGGGAAAAGGGAGGCAGCTTGAAGTTGGATGGTGGCGAGGAGAAGCAGGGCAGCCGTGAGGAAACACCAGGGCAGCCGTGAGGAAACACCAGGGAGCAGAGCAGGTGCACAGGGTTAGGAAGGCAGCTGGTCTGATGCAACGCCATTGATGGCTGGCAGCGAGTTGGCCACCATTGAGAGTGCACGCGGCGAGGGCAGGTAAAGTGGGCAAGGGGGGAGGAAGAGGGTTCGCAGCATCTCTCGGGCCAGAGGCAGCATCCCCAGCACCGCGCAACGAGGTGACTTTGAGTCGACTCACAAGCATCCCCAGCAGCACCACGACCACCCCAGCATTATCCACAAATAGCAGAGCCTGGCTGTGCTGTACGGCTGGTGCTGGCAGCGCAGGGGGAAGGCGTTGCATTTCATATCCACCACATTTATACCCAGTGAAATCAGACCCTGTGCAAGAGGCAGCATCCCCAGCACCACGTCCGCCCCAGCATTGTCCACAAACAGCAACACCCTCAGACTATCTCACCGTTACCATTGCACCCAACAACACCCATCCCACTCACATTAGTCCCGGCTCGGAGCATCTCCCGTGCAAGAGGCAGCATCCCCAGCACTACGTCCGCCCCAGCATTGTCCACAAACAGCAACGCCTTGCCGTACGGACGGTGCTGCCAGCGCTGGTGGAAGGCGTCAAAGTCGTCCACCCGCCAGGGACGCTTCATCTTGTCACGGCTCATACGGTAGATCTCCAGAATGGTGCCGCTGCGGTACAGCTTCACACACTCCCGCGACCCCCAGTCAAATATGTTGGCGGCCAGCACGCCCCCCATAACCGTCAGCAGCCGCTCTTCCTGGTGATGGGGAAAGGGGGGTGTGGGTGAGACGGGTGGGGGTGAAACGGAGGGGGATGGATGGATGCGGTAGATCTCCAGGATGGGTGAAGGGTGCTATGGGGAGGGATAGGGAGGGTAAGGCGGAAGTGGAGAAAAAGACAAGGCCAGGTTGTTAAAGGAATCATATGCTGAAAAAAGATGGTTCTCGCATTATGATCACACTTATCAAATGCTATTCTCATGTCACCCATCCACTTGCTCATTCCCCCACACGAGAGTGCTGAACTTACAGGCGGAATGCTGTCGAGCTTACAGGCGGAATGCTGTCGAGCTTACAGGCGGAATGCTGTCGAGCTTACAGGCAGAATGCTGTCGAGCTTACAGGCGGAATGCTGTCGAGCTTACAGGAGGAATGCTGTCGAGCTTACAGGCGGAATGCTGTCGAGCTTACAGGCGGAATGCTGTCGAGCTTACAGGAGGAATGCTGTCGAGCTTACAGGAGGAATGCTGTCGAGCTTACAGGAGGAATGCTGTCGAGCTTACAGGAGGAATGCTGTCGAGCTCGGCTAGAAGGTCCGGCAGCACTGACAGCGACACGTCATTCTCCCTGTTGGTTGACACGAGGGGCGGATAAGAGGGAGCAGGGAGAGAGCAGGAGGGGATAGAAAAGAGACATAAGGCTGGATCGGGGACATTAGGGTCAACAATTCAAAGAAAGGGAAGATCTCTGAAACAACTGTGTGATTCAGAAAGGGTGTAACAAGCCATACATTCCTCTCCTCTTGATGTTCAATCTGGATTAGGCTCACAAGGCAAAGCACAGAAATGCAGTGGTCATTAGATGCATCCTCCCCTCACCACTCACCGTTGCTTGACAGCACGATACGCGTCAAAGAAATGAAACTCCCTCAGACACTCCACACCACTTTGACATGTCTCGAACTCACTGCTGCTTCACTGTGAACTCAGCACCCGTCTCCCAGACTCTACTCCCCCCTCACCTCTTCCCTTTCCTCCTCCTTACACACACCACTCACCGCTGCTTGACAGCACGGTACGCATCAAAGAAATGGAACTCCCTCAAACACTCCTCGCGCATCTCCAGCAGGGTTGCCAGCCCCAGCCGCCCATACGCTGCTGGCTCCTCGCGTAATCTGTGAGGAAAGGGTGGGTCGGGTTGGGTGGGCAACGTGGTTGGGGCAGGTTGATCATGAAATGATTCTCTCGTCACAAACCCTATGCGTTGCATGCTAAGCTAACGCCTCCTTGTGCAGAAGCCAGCAAGGAGAGAACCAGCAGCGGCGGCAGCGGCGGCGGCAGCAGCAGCAGCAGACGACGAAGCAGACGCAGCGGCAGAACCTAGGCGAGTAGCAGCAGCAGCGGCAGCAGAACCCGAAGCAGCATGGGCAGCAGCAGAAGTAGTAGCAGGGTCAGGAGTAGGGGCAGCAGTGGCAGGAGCAGTGGCAGCGGTGGTGACGGCAGTGGCGACAGCAGAAACAGTAGCAGAAGCAGAAGCAGCCCACACACCTGGTAAGATGCGCCCTGAAGGCCAAGGCAAAGGCATCGCCCCTCCTCTTGGCATCCTCCGTTGCTCCCTCGCTTCCCACTGCCTGAAGCGAGAGGGAGCGTTGGAAAGAGAATAGTAAGGGCGCTTCACCTGTCGGTTCGAACAACACACTCGTTCCAACAGGCGAAACGTTACTCGTTTCGCCTATGTTCGTAGTGGTGATCGTGACGTCGCGAAGCACAATTTCGCCAATTTGAACAGAGCTGTCACCTCAAGCACGATTTTCATCATCCCGCACGTTCGAACACGTTTGTTCGAACAGGTTGGGATAGGTGACACACAATTCCGCACAAACGACTGATATGATTGGTCCACAGTCTTCCGGGTCGCCCATGAACGTTTGCGACCCAAGCGAGGAAACACACAAGCGAGGGACCCTATGTTTGGCAACGTCGCTCTTTTGTGGGCGACGTCGCTGTGTTCGAACAGACCGCGTGTGCGAATAGCGATGGCGTCACCTGTGATGGCCTGTGTCACATTCGCTCATTGTACGTATTTGTGTTCGAACTCATTTGGGATACTGTTCGTACAGTCAAACTGATACGTCGGTTCGGATTTTGGCCTTCCGCCCCTCAGGTGAAGCGCCCTAAGAGATGAAGAGAGGATGGAAAGAGGATGGAAAGAGGATGGAAAATGAGAAGGGAAGCGGGAAGTGGAGGGACGGTGCGAGGGAACGATAAACGGAAGGAGAACGGCAAGGAGAGGGGGGAAAGAAGCTGCTCTTAAAGGTGACTCGCATATCCCCTCGTTTTTGTTTCCAGCAATCTGTTAGCGTCTGAAAGCGTGCCTGCTTATGTTATGTCTTCCCACCCTCCCCCTTCCCCTGCGTTGCTTCTTCGACCTTCTCCACATGCCTCATAATGAAGAAGCTGATAATGAAGAAAAGATTCCCGGACATCTTGAGAGACGCTCCCTAACATCCCGTTTAGCTAGGTTGTTGCCCCTGCATTGCTTTTCTAGCTCACCTTCTCCACGAGGTTGGGAATGTGATCCTGCAGAATTCCAAGCCAGTACCTGATGGGTCCGTGCACGCATGCATACATACATGGGGAGCAATGCCGTTAAGCCACCATGAAACCAGAGCATTGTCCCAAGTGATTCGCCAAACGCCACACCATGCCATGCCAAACGTACAAACAGACCCATGGGATGGATGGGATGGATGGGATGGATGGGATGGGAGTGAATGAAAGAGGTGAGAAAGATGGTGAGGATGCAAACTAGAGCGCCTGAAAAGATATCGTGTGCCATAGTAACGAGGTGACTTTTGAGTCGACTCAAAAGAGGTGAGAACGATGGTGAGGATGCAAACTAGAGCGCCTGAAAAGTGCTATGGAAAAGAAATTCAGTTAACTGATTTTGAAAAAAGCAACTGCAACCATGCATCCCCATGAACACAAACACTCTCCTCTTCACCTCCTGCCCGATTCCCCTACCTCACCCTGTCTACCCCCTCCACCCCCTCCGTGACCTAATCATTCCCGCTCTTCCCCTCCCTCTTTCTCCGCTGTGTCCCACTCACTCCCTCCCTCATTCCCCCCCATGCGCCACTCACTCCCTCCCTCATTCCCCCCCATGCGCCACTCACTCCCTCCCTCATTCCCCCCCATGCGCCACTCACTCCCTCCCTCATTCCCCCCCATGCGCCACTCACTCCCTCTCATCCGAGTCTGCGAGGTCCACTGTGTTGGGCTCATAGCTGGTGGCGGTGACAAGGGAGGAAGGAGGGAGGAGGCAACGGAAATAGAGAGTAAAGGGGAGGGAGTGAGAAGTAAGGGAAAGGGGAAAGAATGAAACAGGAAGGGAAAAATGCAGAGCAAAGGAAAGGAGTGAAGAAGAAAAGAAAAGAAAAAGCGGGACGGCCTCAAGTGACGGCAAAAGCTGCAGCACACCCACATCACAAACCAGCACAGCACATCACCCCGCATCATAGAACCCTCACACAGCAAGTCTCTCACTTGACAGGGTCTGCGAGCAGTGGGAAACCTCAAGTGACGGCACGAGGTGCAGCACTCCCACACTGAGCGCCGACTCATCTGACCGCAGCTCCCTGCCCGCCCTATCACCCACCCAGCATGACCCACTAGCGAGCCCACAGCAAGCGAGCCCACAGTACCTGACAGGATCGGCCAGCAGGGGGAAGACCTCAAGTGAGGGCACGAGGTGCAGCACTCCCACACTGAGCGCCGACTCATCTGACCGCAGCTCCCTGCCCTGCTCCCTTGGCCGTGCAAAGCCTCCCAGGCCCGTGGTGGTTGGCGGCTTGCCTGTTGGCGTGGGCGCCGTGATGTCACTCCCCACCTGCACACACACATCAATCACGAATGAGGTTTGAGACGCCTCAACACTCGACTCATCTGATTGCAGCTCCCTGCCCTGCTCCCTGGGCCGCGCAAAGCAAAGCCCCTCAGCACTGTGGTAGTGGGTGGCTTGCCTGTTGTTGTTGTGGGCGCGGTGCTGTCACTCCCCACCTGCACGCAGTCACACATGAATCACGGATGAGGTTTGAGACGCCTCAACACTCGACTCATCTGACCGCAGCTCCCTGCCCTGCTCCCTTGGCCGTGCAAAGCCTCCCAGGCCCGTGGTGGTTGGCGGCTTGCCTGTTGGTGTGGGCGCCGTGATGTCACTCCCCACCTGCACACACACATCAATCACGAATGAGGTTTGAGATGCTTCAACACTCGACTCATCTGATTGCAGCTCCCTGCCCTGCTCCCTGGGCCGCGCAAAGCAAAGCCCCTCAGCACTGTGGTAGTGGGCGGCTTGCCTGTTGTTGTTGTGGGCGCGGTGCTGTCACTCCCCACCTGCACGCAGTCACACATGAATCACGGATGAGGTTTGAGACGCCTCAACACTCGACTCATCTGATCCCAGCTCCCTGCCCTGCTCTCTGGGTCGTACTACAAGGACCCCCAGCCCCTGTTTGGTGATTTGCCTGTTGGGGTGCGTGCAGTGATGTCACTACCAGCCTGCACGCAATCCCACACACAGCACAAAGCCCTCCTCGCCTGGGTAGCTCACCACCTTGCCAATGCCGAGAGAAAAGGCACCACCTCTACAAAAAAACCTGCTGTATCCACCACCCACCTGCCCCGTTCCCCGCCCACCTGCGCCCTGCACGCCCCACCCACCTGCACAAACTTCTCGACCCACGACACCTTCTCCTTCAACCCACGTATCACAGCCCCTCTGATCTCCCCCTTGGAAAAGGGAGCGCCCATGGGGAAGCGCATCACCAGCTGCCCCATTCCCGTCCAACCAGCCCAAAGCACCTCGCCCATGCCCCATTCCCTACTCACCTGAACAAACTTCTCGACCCAGGAGACCTCCTTCATCCCACGAATCACGGGCCCTCGGATCTCCCCTTTGGAGAAGGGAGCGCCCATGGGGAAGCGCTCCACCAGCAGCAACAAGGAGAGAGGGGCGATGACGGGGGTCAGGGAGAGGGAGGGAGAGGGTACCACCTCTCACCTGAACAAACTTCTCGACCCAGGAGACCTTCTCCTTGAGCCCGCGAATCACGGGCCCGCGGATCTCCCCCTTGGAGAAGGGAGCGCCCATGGGGAAGCGCTCCACCAGCTGCGACGGCGTGAGCGAGGAGAGCGAGGCGATGCCGGGCGTGAGAGAGAGCCCGCGGCCCTCTGCGTGGGCGTCCTCCTCGTGCGCTAGGAAGGCTCCCAGCGCTCCCAGGTACCCCTCGTGCCTCAGAAACATGGCCTGCTTCTCGCCCTTGGACCTACAGAAAGGTGGGAGGGGGGGGGATGGGGCAAGTAGAGGGGAAGAAGTGAGGGGGAGGGACAAGAGGAAGTACGGGAGGGGAAGGCGTGGGCGAGGAGAGCGAGGCGATGCCGGGCGTGAGAGAGAGCCCGCGGCCCTCTGCGTGGGCGTCCTCCTCGTGCGCTAGGAAGGCTCCCAGCGCTCCCAGGTACCCCTCGTGCCTCAGAAACATGGCCTGCTTCTCGCCCTTGGACCTACAGAAAGGTGGGAGGGGGGGGGATGGGGCAAGTAGAGGGGAAGAAGTGAGGGGGAGGGACAAGAGGAAGTACGGGAGGGGAAGGCGTGAGCGAGGAGAGCGAGGCGATGCCGGGCGTGAGAGAGAGCCCGCGGCCCTCTGCGTGGGCGTCCTCCTCGTGCGCTAGGAAGGCTCCCAGCGCTCCCAGGTACCCCTCGTGGCGCAGAAACATGGCCTGCTTCTCGCCCTTGGACCTGACGAGGAGGAGGGGAAGTGGAGTGGGTTGGAAGGGTTTGCGGTGATGGTGTGAGACACAGAGGTGGAATTGTCAAAGGCCTCCTTTTGAGAATTCTCAAAAATGTCAAAGGCCTCCGTTGACATGTGAGTTGGCTTCTTTTCGTAAACGTTCAGACCAGAACATGGTGTGTCCATGGTGTACGCATGCCCGCAGATAAAGAAGGCACGTTCCACATCGCACAGGTTGAGCCACCCTGATTGTGAACTCACCAGAACTTGATGGCGAAGGAGATGGTGTCCATGGTGTACGCATGCCCGCACTTGAAGAGCCTAATGGCATGGCAATGATGTCCCAAGGTGCCTAAGGAGACATCACCCACCAGAATTTGACGGCAAAGGAGATGGTGTTGATTGATGGTGTACGCATGCCCGCAGGTGAAAACAACCCCCAAGTTTTATGTGCTTGATGAGGTTGTATCGCTCTCACACACGAATGAAGAAGCTTGCTTGCACCACCTTGATTCCATGTATGAAAACTTGAAAACCACGTTGAGTGAGTAAACGGTAAACCCACCAGAACTTGATGGCAAAGGATATTGTATCCATGGTGTAGGCGTGCCCGCGGATGAAGAACCCGCCAAAGAAGATGCGCTTGAGGTTGTAGCGCAGCGCGTTGAGGTAGGCGATCTGCCCGATGTTGTATGACACCATGCGCAGCAGCGAGAGGGCGATGTCCTCCGGGCGGTAGTCTGACAGCTGCTTCTGCTCGCCCACCACTCGCCCGAAACTGGAGGCAATGGTAGATGCCGATAGGCCGATCTGAGGGAACAACAAGGCGTGAGAGTGAACAACATGGGGGATGGGAGTGAGGGAGTGGGGGATGGGGGGCAATGGGGGGGCATTGGGCAGCGGGGAAGGTGGGTGGTGTGGTTGGAAGCCTCAAAACTGGAAGCGATGATGTGGGTGAGATGTGGGGATGGTGAGTGTGGTCGATGTCTTGATCACCCTTTTGCCATAGATGGGCCCCACCAGCATGTCCACACCACAGCCGAGCTGTCATGATGGCAGGCGGGTGGTGCGAGTGCAACAATTCAAGGGCGAAGCTGCAATGGCAGGTGGCACGGGTGTACAATGGTTGACCTGCCTGTTCACCTTCTCACCGCTATCTCACCTTCTCGTAGTTAAGCCCGCCATAGATGTCCCCCACCAGCATGTCCACAGCCGAGTTGTCGCCCTCCTGACTCAGCTCCAGAATCTTGTCAAAACTGGTTGTGGCATGAAGGGCGGATGGTGTGAGGAAGGGCGGATGGTGTGAGGAAGGGCGGATGGTGTGAGGAAGGGCGGATGGTGTGAGGAAGGGCGGATGGTGTGAGGAAGGGCGGATGGTGTGAGGAAGCAAGACACGGGACAAGAGCAAGGACGAGCGGGTTTGCTTTGTTACCCTAACCCCTCCTGACTCAGCTCCAGGATCTTGTCAAAACTGGTGCCCGTGTAATGAAGGGGGGATGGTGAGGGTTTCGGGGTCAGGGGAGAAAGGGGTTCAATGTTGCCCCCCCCTCCCTCCCCCCCCAATCTTGTCAAAAAAGACTGCCTCTACACAACAGTGAAGGGTAGAGGGAAGAGGACTAAGCTGCAAGGGTATGCGATGAAGATTGTGAAGGAGGGGTGTGGGGATGGGATGTGAGGGTGAATGTGAGGGGGGATGTGAGGGGCTGTGAAGTGAAAGGGTGCAGAACGTGAAAGCCAGGAACGCCAAATGTGATGTGCAAAGGTGCAGAACAAAGAGAAGATTTGGAGTGGGCCTTGAACCTGGACAAGACAGGACAAGATATGGCATGGTCTCCCCACTCTTGCATCGTGTGAGCAGACGGCCCAGCTTTTATTCATCTCAACAGCCTTATGTGCACGGGGGCTGCGGAATGGAGTGCAGATGTGAAGCGAGCCCTGAACCTATTTTTTGAGAATTCTCACCTCTTGCCCTGAACCTAGCCTCTCTCTCACCTCTTGCATCCCGTGAGTAGGCTGCCCAGGCCCCAGAAGGTGCCCCCCCCCAGGTTGGTGCCGCTCACTCGCTCATACTGCTGTGGCCCGTCAACCTATCATCGTGGACAGAGGGAGGAGAGGGGGCAGAGGGGGGTAGGAGTGCAGGCAGGGACAGGCGAGAGCAGGCAGTCACAACTTGCTTTACGGCGTGTCAAAATTAAGGTAATGTACATTGACAGAATGGCAACAGACATTCGCACAACTTGCTTTGGGATGTCTCAAAATCAGAACGGCGCGCCTTGTACATGCCGACGCACCTCGAGAATGCCGACACACCTTGAGAATGCCGACGCATCTTGAGAGGTAGCAAAGCATGCTTTCGTTGTGCATCTTGAGAGGTAGGAAAGCATGCTTTCGTTGTGCATCTTGAGAGGTAGGAAAGCATGCTTTCGTTGTGCATCTTGAGAGGTAGGAAAGCATGCTTTCGTTGTGCATCTTGAGAGGTAGGAAAGCATGCTCTCGTTGTGCATCTTGAGAGGTAGGAAAGCATGCTTTCGTTGTGCATCTTGAGAGGTAGGAAAGCATGCTCTCGTTGTGCATCTTGACAGGTAGGAAAGCATGCTGTCGTTGTGCATCTTGAGAGGTAGGAAAGCATGCTTTCGTTGTGCATCTTGAGAGGTAGGAAAGCATGCTTTCGTTGTGCATCTTGAGAGGTAGCAAAGCATGCTTTCGTTGTGCATCTTGAGAGGTAGGAAAGCATGCTTTCGTTGTGCATCTTGAGAGGTAGGAAAGCATGCTTTCGTTGGGCATCTTGAGAGGTAGGAAAGCATGCTTTCGTTGTGCATCTTGAGAGGTAGGAAAGCATGCTTTCGTTGTGCATCTTGAGAGGTAGCAAAGCATGCTTTCGTTGTGCATCTTGAGAGGTAGGAAAGCATGCTTTCGTTGTGCATCTTGAGAGGTAGGAAAGCATGCTTTCGTTGTGCATCTTGAGAGGTAGGAAAGCATGCTTTCGTTGTGCATCTTGAGAGGTAGGAAAGCATGCTTTCGTTGTGCATCTTGAGAGGTAGGAAAGCATGCTTTCGTTGTGCATCTTGAGAGGTAGGAAAGCATGCTTTCGTTGTGCATCTTGAGAGGTAGGAAAGCATGCTTTCGTTGTGCATCTTGAGAGGTAGGAAAGCATGCTCTCGTTGTGCATCTTGAAAACAGAGCACCGTACACTGACGAGACTGAAACAGGTGGTCACACACCTTGAGAATGCTCACACACCTTGAGAATGCTCGCACACCTTGAGAATGCTCGCACACCTTGAGAATGCTCGCACACCTTGAGAATGCTCACACACCTTGAGAATGCTCGCACACCTTGAGAATGCTCGCACACCTTGAGAATGCTCGCACACCTTGAGAATGCTCGCACACCTTGAGAATGCTCGCACACCTTGAGAGTGCTCACACACCTTGAGAATGCTCGCACACCTTGAGAATGCTCGCACCCCTTGAGAATGCTCGCACACCTTGAGAATGCTCGCACACCTTGAGAATGCTCGCACCCCTTGAGAATGCTCACACACCTTGAGAATGCTCGCACACCTTGAGAATGCTCGCACCCCTTGAGAATGCTCGCACACCTTGAGAATGCTCGCACACCTTGAGAATGCTCGCACCCCTTGAGAATGCTCACACACCTTGAGAATGCTCGCACACCTTGAGAATGCTCGCACCCTTTGAGAATGCTCGCACACCTTGAGAATGCTCGCACACCTTGAGAATGCTCGCACACCTTGAGAATGCTCGCACCCCTTGAGAATGCTCGCACACCTTGAGAATGCTCACACACCTTGAGAATGCTCGCACACCTTGAGAATGCTCGCACCCCTTGAGAATGCTCGCACACCTTGAGAATGCTCACACACCTTGAGAATGCTCGCACACCTTGAGAATGCTCGCACACCTTGAGAATGCTCGCACACCTTGAGAATGCTCGCACACCTTGAGAATGCTCGCACCCCTTGAGAATGCTCGCACACCTTGAGAATGCTCGCACCCCTTGAGAATGCTCGCACACCTTGAGAATGCTCGCACACCTTGAGAATGCTCGCACCCTTTGAGAATGCTCGCACACCTTGAGAATGCTCGCACACCTTGAGAATGCTCGCACACCTTGAGAATGCTCGCACCCCTTGAGAATGCTCGCACACCTTGAGAATGCTCGCACACCTTGAGAATGCTCGCACACCTTGAGAATGCTCGCACCCTTTGAGAATGCTCGCACACCTTGAGAATGCTCGCACACCTTGAGAATGCTCGCACCCCTTGAGAATGCTCGCACACCTTGAGAATGCTCGCACCCTTTGAGAATGCTCGCACACCTTGAGAATGCTCGCACACCTTGAGAATGCTCGCACACCTTGAGAATGCTCGCACACCTTGAGAATGCTCGCACCCTTTGAGAATGCTCGCACACCTTGAGAATGCTCGCACACCTTGAGAATGCTCGCACACCTTGAGAATGCTCGCACCCCTTGAGAATGCTCGCACACCTTGAGAATGCTCACACACCTTGAGAATGCTCGCACACCTTGAGAATGCTCGCACACCTTGAGAATGCTCGCACACCTTGAGAATGCTCACACACCTTGAGAATGCTCGCACACCTTGAGAATGCTCGCACACCTTGAGAATGCTCGCACACCTTGAGAATGCTCGCACACCTTGAGAATGCTCGCACACCTTGAGAATGCTCGCACACCTTGAGAATGCTCGCACACCTTGAGAATGCTCGCACCCCTTGAGAATGCTCGCACACCTTGAGAATGCTCGCACACCTTGAGAATGCTCGCACCCTTTGAGAATGCTCGCACACCTTGAGAATGCTCGCACACCTTGAGAATGCTCGCACACCTTGAGAATGCTCGCACCCCTTGAGAATGCTCGCACACCTTGAGAATGCTCGCACACCTTGAGAATGCTCGCACCCCTTGAGAATGCTCGCACACCTTGAGAATGCTCGCACCCTTTGAGAATGCTCGCACACCTTGAGAATGCTCACACACCTTGAGAATGCTCGCACACCTTGAGAATGCTCGCACCCTTTGAGAATGCTCGCACCCCTTGAGAATGCTCGCACACCTTGAGAATGCTCGCACACCTTGAGAATGCTCGCACCCTTTGAGAATGCTCGCACACCTTGAGAATGCTCGCACACCTTGAGAATGCTCGCACACCTTGAGAATGCTCGCACACCTTGAGAATGCTCGCACCCCTTGAGAATGCTCGCACACCTTGAGAATGCTCGCACCCTTTGAGAATGCTCGCACACCTTGAGAATGCTCGCACACCTTGAGAATGCTCGCACACCTTGAGAATGCTCGCACACCTTGAGAATGCTCGCACACCTTGAGAATGCTCGCACCCTTTGAGAATGCTCGCACACCTTGAGAATGCTCGCACACCTTGAGAATGCTCGCACACCTTGAGAATGCTCGCACCCCTTGAGAATGCTCGCACACCTTGAGAATGCTCGCACACCTTGAGAATGCTCACACACCTTGAGAATGCTCGCACACCTTCAGAATGCTCGCACACCTTGAGAATGCTCGCACACCTTGAGAATGCTCGCACACCTTGAGAATGCTCGCACACCTTGAGAATGCTCGCACACCTTGAGAATGCTCACACACCTTGAGAATGCTCGCACACCTTGAGAATGCTCGCACACCTTGAGAATGCTCGCACACCTTGAGAATGCTCGCACACCTTGAGAATGCTCGCACACCTTGAGAATGCTCGCACACCTTGAGAATGCTCGCACACCTTGAGAATGCTGACACCCGAGCCGATGTTGACAAGGAGGTAGGGGAAGATGTTTCCGCTGTGCATCTCCACAAACTGCTTCTCGCCCTCCAGGTGTGTGAATGCCTCATCTCGGATGGACTGGGTTGGGGGGGATGGGCATGCAGGGGTAACGAGGAAGGGAAGACGGGAGGGTGAATGGAAGGGCCTGAGCCATTGCACGTGCATCTCCACAAACTGCTTCTCTCCCTCCAGGTGTGTGATTGCCTCATCTTGGATGGACTGCCGTGGGGAAAGGACAGGAAGGTTGGGTGCGAGGGAAATAGGTCATTTATCATGGTGTCAGCAAGTTGCAGCTCCACCAGCGGGGAGGAAACGTAGAGACAAGTAACAGTGAGCTCAACAGGCAGTGGCACACATCTTCAAAAGCCCTGGTGTGTAGTGCACGTACATGCAGACAAACATACAAATAGCACTTGAGCACCGGCGGGTTATGTGCAGCATCTAGGGGAGAGGAGAGGGGGCCATACGCGCAGCATGAAAGGGAGAAAGAGGGTGATGCGGCGGGGCCATGCGCGCAGGAGGAAGTTGAGGCCACTTTTGAGTCGACTCAAAAGAGGTGACTTTTGAGTCGACTCACAAGTCACTTAGGGCCATACGCGCAGGAGGAAGTTGAGGCCGAGCACGAGGCAGCGCATCTCATCCTCCTTGTCCAACACCACGCCCAGCTTCTCCTTAAACAGATCCGCGTACTTGAACGCCCCGCCCCCTGTGGCCTGCACACAGACACACACGAGGACAATGGTGCATGGCAGGGGTGGTGCATGGAGGTGAGTTTCGAGTCAACTCAAAGAGCATCTCATCCTCCTTGTCCAACACCACGCCCAGCTTCTCCTTAAACAGATCCGCGTACTTGAACGCGCCTCCCCCTGTGGCCTGCGCGCACACATGGGGGTGATGATGGATGGATGGTAGGGGTGGTGTATGGCAGGGACATGTAGTTAGATAATTGCAAGCATGCACTACAGATGGATAGGCACACCTTGGAGGAATGACGTGCTGAATAATTCGACAATGCGTGAAGCTCAGATGCACATGTGAAGAGTGTGGGGCTGAGCAAGGCAATGTGCGCCTTCATCCTCCCGACTGTGATCAACACTGGATGCGCCTCAACGGGTGTCACTGCAAGTGCTGTGCAAGCATGGCCAACACATCTTGATGCGAGGCGAGCTGGCTCCATAGCTCCATAGGCTCTTCTCGTCTCCTCCCATTCCTTTCAACAAACCAGGAGACGGGCACCAAGAAAAAAACAACATCGGAGGGACCAAACACAGCGTCATTGCAAGCATGTCTGAACACACCTTGATGCGAGGCGAGCTGGCTCCATAGCCCCATAGACTCTCCTCGTCTCCACCCATTCCTTGTCGGAAGAAGAACACGTCGGAAGAAGAATACCAGAAAACGATGAGAAGGGCAACAAAGCAAGCCACGGTGAGATGAGATCCGCTAAGGTAAAACAAGGAGGTGAGCTTATTGAGGTGGGTGTGTGTACTTGGTTGGAATTTTTGCGGCAGCACCTACGAACAACAACAATCAGGTTAAGAAAGATGTTGGGTTGTTGGGTGGGCGCAGAAGCAAGGATGAGGGTGGAGGAGAGGAGGGTGGACAAGGATGATGACAAACAATGATGGATGGGGAAGGAACATGGAAGCTTTCAAGGCCTCCAGGCAGCAGATTGAACTCCCCCAAATTCCTACATGTGCTTTCTCACATCATTGCTTACATGTGCAAAAACGCATTCGACCCGCACCAAACATCGTCAAACCGTATAAGCCCTTCGTCTCCCTCCCACTCCCAGCCTCAGCATTCTGCACCCTCTCTGCCCACTCCACTCTATTCCCCACAACGAGCCGCATACTCTGTAATCCCACCTGTCCCCCACTGCGTCCGCCACCAACCACATCCCCCCTCACCTAGAATATCAAAGCTGTGGAGCCTCTTCGACTTGATGAACTCGATGCACTCTGCGATCCTCGACGTCTCAAACTTGACAAAGTGCAGCCGACCACCGCCGCCCGACCGAAAAGAGCCCCCTCCTCCAGAAAAGGAAGCTCGCCTGTCGACAGCCCTAGCAGCAGCAGCGGCAGCACTGGCGCTCGCCGTGAGATTGCCAGTGGCAGCAGCAGCAGCAGCTATTGTTGCAGTAGCGGAAGCAAAGGCAGGAGGCGGAGCAGCAGCAGAAGCAGCAGTAGGACCACAGTTGGTCTGGGTGGTGCAGTCTGTGCTTTCATTACCAGCAGCAGTGCTAGTAGAAGCAGGAGCAGCAGTGGCAGAAGGGGAGATGAGAGAGGAGAAGGAGGCTCCGTGTTCCAAGTGGGGAGGGATGCGGGAGAAATACACGAGCTTTATGAGCGAGCCTGAGGGCAGTATCAAAGAGGGGTACAGGAGAGAAAGATAAGACGGTATATGATTGCAACTGGACATAAGAAACATGCAGTAGAGAGGAGAAACGCAGGTTGCCTTTTCGTAGTGCCTGCATATTTGATCCTGGCGCCTGAAAATAATGATTCTTTGAATGGCTGGATAGAGATTTCTAAACAGGTTTGGACAATGATTCCTGAAAACCGCAGAAGACTGCTTCATAGAAAAACCTTGACATTGACGTGGAAATGCCTGGATATTGCTTTACAAAGTTGCTTGGTGATTGGTTCATGAGAATGCTTGAAATTACGTGGAGTTTAATTCCTGGAAATGCTTGAGGTTGATTCCCTGGACAATGGTTCCTGAGAATGGATAAATGCATGAACATGGATTCCTTGACATTCATTCATGGAAACGTACTCCTGGAAAGTTTCAGGACAATCATCACTGAAAATGCTTGGGCATTGATGCCTGGATATTCCAGGAAATTTCTCAGAATAAGTTCCTGGAAAAGGCTGGATATCGTTTTCTATGTTTGCCTGCACATTGACTCTCGAAACGGGGTAAGACTTGACTCCTACAAATGGATGGATATTGTCAAACAAGGAAAATGCCTTGAGAGATGAGGAAGGCTAGAAGATGGCGGAGGGAAGTGGTGCATACACATGTTAAGGGCGAACGGAACGCATCCTACAGTTAAGAGTGCTGTATAGATGTGGCTCAGAACAAGGATTGGACTTGGAACACACCTCCAATGTCAAGTGCGAAGTGCAGCACATCCGACCGTTGATTCGGGAGCACAATGGTCGTCTGCGCACCAGCAGCGTCCCGCGGAAACGTTTGAATCGCAGCCCCGCGCAAATCCAGATGCGGAGGCATCGCCTGCGTTCCGCCTAGTCCCGCCGCCACTGCTGGACTTGATCCCCTTCCCCCTGCGCTTCCCCCCGAGGCCATGCCGCCAGTGTCGCCCACTGCGCCCCAGGGGCCTCCCCCGACCGCGATTGCCGCCGGGATTTCGGCGGAGGCCGATTCCGAACATCGCATGTTCGTGTGGTTACCGCTGCTGCTAACACCGCTGCTGCTAGTCACGTTGTCTGTGTCGGGACCTGCGGTTTCAACCTCCGCATTTGGCGCTGACTCTGTGCTCCCAGAGTTGCGCGTGTCCATTCTTCTGTTGTGACTATATTGAGACGCGAGCCACGATGCGCTTCTGTGACTGTCGACTAGTATGTGGTACCGCAAGATACAGAAACTCTCTTGTGCTCTTCAGAGGCGTCGCGGGACTCTCGGAGGGGTTTGTTAAAGTCACCACGAACACGAGTTCGCGCAATAAATTTCTTTTGACAGCGGCTTTTAGCAACACCGTACCTAAGCCTGTTAACGACGACGCACCAACGGCTATTGACGACGTGGTAGTAACGCCTATTGGTGACAACGTACAACGGCTATAAACGACCAACGGCTAGTAGCCACGACGTAATCACAGCTACTGGACTATATTCTAAGATTCTATCTTGTTTACCGTGAAGCTACTCTGCTGACCATGTGACCAGGAAGTCACGAGTCGAAGCGACGTTCATGAATACCATTGCTGAGGTTCCCAATGCCGTGGGAGTTAGCTGTGATGGCCTTCAATAGCGACGTTACAAGCGCCATTGGAATGCCGAGCCGAAGCTTGTTATTGGCTGCCCCTTTACACCGCTCTCAGTCGTCTTTACAGCGGTCCCAGACGTCAGCGTTACGAAAAAGTATGTACTTGTTATTGTGGACAATCTACACTTTACTCCCTGCAAGGTGTATGCAGGGTAGCTTTTTAGTATTCACAGTCACCAGTCAAACTTGCCATGCTTTTAACATTTTTAGGCTTTTCTTTTCACTTTCAGGCAGGAAACACTTGACACTCGAGAGAAAACACTTGACACACATAACTCACAACACACAAACCAGGTTATTGCAAAAACCCTAGAAACCACCAATGCTAGTGCAGTATCAATTGCACGTTAGTTAGGCCTATAGTCAATCATGACTCCTGCACACCCTCCTTCAAGCCTCCGTTTCACGGGGCCGAACACGCATGTTTACGCCACCTGAGCCCAGGATAAATGTCAAAGAGTGATTTGTGTCAGTAGCCCGGCATGAGGAAGCGGAAAACAAAGCATGTCATGCAGATTAAGCATTGCCGCACCTGGAAAGTTCATTGTAATGTCGTAAGCGAATGGCAGTTCCTTTCCGCTGGGACTGATACCCTCGAATTCGAAATGCTGAGGTGAGGAAGGAAGGGAGGGAGGGGAGGAAACGAGAGGGGGGGAAGGGAGATGGGAGGAGGGGAACAAGGGAGGAGAGGAGCAGGGGAGGAAGAGAGGAGGGGAAGAGAAGAGGGACAAAGGTAAGGTTAGATCTCCTTAAACACACAGCACTGCATACGTATGGATGCAAGCACGCACAAGTTCCCTTCACACCTTCGCCCTCTTCCCCCCCTCCCCTCACACACACCTGCAGCAGGGTGGCGACAACTTGAGTGACGGCGAGCACAGCAAAGTTGGCGCCCAGACACATGCGAGGCCCCGCCCCAAACGGCACCCATGCAAAGCGCGGCCGCACTGCCTCTGCCTCGGGAGTGAAGCGCTCCTGTGAGTGGGGAGGGAGCATGGGAAGAGAGTGAGGAGCATGGAGATGGAGGGGTTGTTGCGATGAGGGATGAAAGAAATCTCAGAGGGGTTCTTCAGTAAGAAGGTAGCCAAACGAGGCTCAGAGAGAGAGGTGTTCTTTGTGCTGCAGTCTGAAGACAACTTTCTGAGTTTCACTATGAAGGCAGGCCAGCTGCCTCTGCTTCGGCATTGAACCGCTCTTGAGGCAGCAGACATCACAGGAAGTCATCGCTCCGTTCTTGAGAGGACTTCTGGCGCACAGGAGACTTTTGACGTGCAGTTTGAAGGGCGAACTATGATAGAAGAACGAGCTTTCCCAAGGGAAATGAAGTGTGGCTATTGGGAAAAGAAGAAAGCATCAGTGGAGCTTTACCGGTCGGAAGGAGAGGGGCTCGGGCCAGTAGACAGGGTTGCGCCCCATGGCATAGGTGGACATAAATACGACCTGGGGGTGGGGCAGGGAGGCAGGAAGACGGGGCGGGAGAAGGGGATGGAGATACTTAGGTGCCTCAAACGCGGTACGTGTTAGTAAACAAGGTTGTGCCGATGGCAAGGTGGGCACCCACTGGGCGTGCAACCAGTGTGGCCCGTTTTCTTCGGAACGAGTGGGATGGGGAGTAGGGGCTAGAAAGGAACAATGCACTCACATCGCCGCCAGGAAGTTCGTAGCCCCCGGGTAGGACGTCGGTGTGGGCGACCTCCCGGGGGAAGAGCGGGATGGGCGGGTACATGCGGAGGGTCTCCTTGACGGCCATCTGTGTGTATGCCAGGCGACCGCTGTTGATGTCTTGGAACGAGGGCATGCGCCCGTTGAGGCCTCTCAGCTCCTCTTGCACCTGTGGGTGGGAAGGGAGAGAAGGGGCGAGGGTGGGAGGAGAGAAGGAAAGAGGAGGGATGGAGAGAAAGGAAGAGGAGGGGTTGAGAGAAAGGACAAGAGGCTTTGAGAAGCTGGAAGAGAGGGGGGAGGGGATAAAGAAGGGAGTGAGGGGGTACATGTGGAGGGTCTCCTTGACGGCCATCTGTGTGTATACCAGGCGCCCGCTGTTGACGTCTTGGAACGAGGGCATGCAGCCGTTGAGGGCTCTCAGCTCCTCTTGCACCTGGAGGAAGAGAAGGGTGAGGAGGGGCTGGAGAGAAGGGAAGAGGAGGAGTCCAGAAAAGGGAGAGATGTTCAGGGGGTTCATGTGGAGCGTTTGCCTTCACTGCAACCGTTTACCACTGTGAACACGCCTCCAAAACATACCAAGCACCCTACATTGGTTTTTACCCAACTTGGCCTTGGCTTCAGGGTGCTGTGAGATGAGGAAGATTGCCGCCGTGATGGTGGTGGTGGTGGTCTCGTGCCCCGCGCCCATCACCTTGCCCCTCTCCTTGCGCTATACCCACCTTGCCACTCACCCGCCACTGCCAGCCATCCACCTGGGCCTGCACCCACCTTGGCCTTGGCTTCAGGGTGTTGCGAGATGAGGAAGAGCGCCGCCGTGATGGTGGTGGCGGTGGTCTCGTGCCCCGCGCCCATCACGTCGTGCACGTCCTCCCACAGCTCCTCGTCTTGGAGTGGCCGGCCTTGCTCATCCTGTGGGGACAGGGGAGGGAGGAGGGAGACAGGGGCGCAACGGGTTTGAGGGTGGTGGCGGTGGTCTCGTGCGCCGCGCCCATCACGTCGTGCACGTCCTCCCACAGCTCCTCGTCCTGCAGCGGCCGCCCCTGCTTGTCCTGGCGACACAGGGGAGGCGGAGAGGAAGCAAGGAAGTGGGGGACGCAGGGAGGCGGAGGGCTGAGCTATTGGGGGTTGGGGCATGGGTGGGACAAGGGGGGCAAAGGGGGTTTCAAGGCTAATCATCCGCCCGAACACCCTCACATCCCCCACACACCTCCCCCCTCAACGGCCTTACCGTGGCACCTAGCAGCACCCTAGCAGCACCTAGCAGCACCCTAGCACCTAACCAGCGTTCCCCCCCTTGCGCGCCAGCTCCCTCGCCGCTCCTCAGTCACACCCACCACAACCCATGCGTGCCTCAGTTCTCTAGCCCCCTCAGAATCTCTTACCCTCCGCAACGTCTGCACAGACCCCCCCCACCCCACCCACACGCGTCAACAGCTGTCTCACCCTCTTCCACAACCCCAAACAACCTTCCCCTCACCCCATTCCCAACGGCCGTACCGTGGCGCCTAGCAGCACTCCCAGCAGATCATCTCCAGCGTCCCCCGTTGCGCGCCATTTCTCTCTCCGCTCCTCGATTACACCCATCATAACCCTCTCCATGGCCTTCATCGCCGCATCCAACCGCAGCATCCCTGGTTCCCCGAACCTCCGCAGCAGCTGCAGCACCGGCAGTGGCGTGATGAACACGTTTGCCATCAACTGCTGCGACTCGTTCACCGCCCCTAGCAGCTCGTCAGCTCCGGCGTCCGCCTGGGTCGCCGAGCCTGCAGGGTCGGCTCGGATGCGGTCCAGCTGTCCGAAGTCTTTGGAAAAAGCGACGGCTCCGATGATGTCGAGCGTGAAGCGTTGGATCTGGACCGCTAGATTCCCGTCGAGGACAACATTGGGGAGGGGTGAGCCGGCGTCTGTGGTGGCTTGATGGCGCCACATTGTGATGAGCTTGTCTAGCTGCTCGTGAGAAAGGGTGATAGTTGCGGGAAGTGGGTGATGTGGGATAGGATCGAGTGGGGAGGGGAAGGAAAGGGTGAACTGGCGTCTGTGGCGGCTTCATGGCAGCACAGTGCCGTGGGATAGGATAGACGATTTTCTAGCTTGCCATGGGAAGGGGTGGCGGGGAGTGGGTTAGGATGGGGATATGATGCGAGTGTTGGCAGAGGTTGAGTGGGTTCAGGATGAAGCGAGTGACGGGAGAGTGGCAACTTGACGGGTGAGGAAAGGGCGGAGGGAGGGTCAGGGATAAACGAATGGGATGAAATTTGGGGGATGGGGTGGGCAAATGGTAATGAAGGATGGAGGGATGGATGAGAGGAGAGAGATGACATGAAGACTAGTGACGTCCTTAGACCGTCACAGGACCTACCTGTGACTGGATGGTATCGGAAAAGGCGTCGAGCAGGTTGGGGCGCATGAAAGGCGGCTGGCACATGCGGCGGTGCGCGCGGTTGTACTCCCCTTGCGACCCCAGAATGCCCTTGCCATGCGTCACGTACTCGTATACCGCCTGGTGGGGAAAGGCAGTTGGGAAAAGCCGGTGGAAAGGAGAGTCCTGAGTCAAGAGACGCTCAGCCGTGCGTCACGGGGTGGGGGGAGGGAGAAGGAAAAATTGGCATAAAGGAGAGTCAAGAAACGCTTTGCGAGCCTAGAGAAGAAGACGAGCGCGGACTCACGGGCAGGAATCTGCGCGAGTAGTTTTTGGAGTTGGAGCTGCAGATGTGCGCGATGATCTCCGCGTCGTTTACGAAAGTCCACGCGCTCACGCCGTTGGCGAACCTACAGATCGGGCCGTACTTGCGCCCGTACAGCAGCGTCGCCTCCTCGATCCCGCGCAGCGCGATCGCGCTCAGATCACGCACGTTGCCCACTATGTCCCACGGGTGGGGACCCGGGATGGGTACCGGGAGGTCCGCTTCGGTATCTTCGCGTGAGAGCGACTCGCCCTGAATGGGGAACGTGCGGGAAAAAAAGGAGTGGATTTGAGTCGAGTCACGCTTCGTGGGTGGGGGAACAGAATGGGTACTGGTATGTCTGCTTCTGTATCTTCGCGTGAGAGCGACTCGCCCTGGACGGGGAACGTGTGGGGCTTTGGGTCGAATCATTTTACGCGGGTGGGGACCTGGAATGGGTGCCGGGAGGTCCTCTTCGGTGTCTTCGCGGGAGTGCTGCTTACCATGGTTGCCACGGCCGCTAGTCGCCCAGTGAAGGGGCAGCGCGCGGCCGTTGCTGGCGATACTGCTGACGCTGACGACATCATTGGCGGCGCCACGCTGGTGCTCCCGGAAGGTGCAGCAGCTGCTGACGTGGAAACTGAGGTGGAGCTGACGTGGCTTGCAGAAGTGGCGCTAGCGGACGTGCGAAGATCCGTCGTGGAGTTTGAAGGAATGGAGAGAGTGCATACGATTTTCGTAGAACGAGGTGGAAGAGAAACGTGAATTCCTGAAACGGACCGTGCACTGATTGGTTGCTGGACCAAGCCCGTCGCTTGGGTGTACACGCGAGGTTGCATTACTGGCGCCATATTATGAACAAATCTAGCCTAGGAGTTAGAGGAATTGTTATAAATTATGGGACCCGATTGTTTGACGGGCCAACGCTGTATACGATGAGGTGAGCCACGGTGCAGGACACAAACTTCTAAAGCCAAAATCTATAACTACAAGAGGGTCACTATCTAGCAGCTGGAGTGCAGGACTGGCAACAGTGGCTGATGGCAAGATGGAGTGACCAACTAGGAGCTGCGCTACCTTGAGACCGCCTGGTGGAACCAGGAACACACTCTTTCACTAGACAAGGTAAGACTTTAGGAGGTGGAGAACAGAGCAGGAACGCACATAACCGCTTTTAGAAGCGTAGAAACGCACTCTACACTACAAAAATGTCTAGGAATTTTCCAAATTCAGGTGCAGTTCGCACTAGTGACATTGTGACGGCAGGCAGGGGCTCGAACGCAGGAGAAAGGAAAGGAGAAATCGGGGCGCACGAATGTCAGGAAAAACCAATCTCGAGGCAACTTGATGACCTCGATAGAATGACATAGGATCACCATCAGGCAAATTAGGACGAGAGGTCACACGTGGAAGATCACTTTTCCAGCCTACACCGAATCACAACAGAGACTGCGAGCGACCAAGAAAACGGCGAAACTGATATTTCTGTGTGGGGGCACTTTCGACAATCCCCAACATCGCGGATTGCTGTCCTCCACCCTGACGTGGAGGATCGAACTGTCCAGTGGTGTTGGATTGATTTATCGCAAGCAGTGCGAACAAAAGATTTCACGAGTCAACAGCAGCCTATCGGAAGGATGTGATATGCCAGCACATGATGAGATGGGTACTCAGTGCTCTATTGGCGAGCGGGACATCAGGAATACAGAAACTATTACACAAGATTCAGAACAGAGAACTACATATGAAACAGAACATGTTGCCTATAAGAAAAAAAAAATTGCTTTCTATGTTAAAAATGACAACTCAACTACAAATCAGCTATGAACAACTGCCAGACATACTTTGAATGACACAGACGTGCTTGAGGCTACGAAATGCAAACCAGGTGCTCAGTTGGATCAAGTGCTCACTTGAACCAAGTCGTTCTTTGGACCAAGTGTTACCAAGGCGTCACTTGAACCAAGTGCTAACTTGGACCAATTCGTCTCGTCAGTAGGACCAAGAAGTCATTTGGAACAAGTGCTCACTTCAACCATGTGCTCACTTGGACCAAGTCGTCACCAGGCCCTACGATATCAGGAATTTTACCCTGAAATTCCTGATTTACAGTGTTTTTTTTTTTACCTACTCTGAAAATCCAGTGTTCAGCTTTTCCTAGGGCTGATTTTTCAGCCTTCACATGCCACATGACTCTGAACTTTCAGCAAATTTTTTGAAGTGACACTGATGCCTTTACGTTGTAACGAGTTTGACCCTGAAAGCGAATCCTACTAGGTACGAGTGTACTTGACCGGAAGTACTGGGAAAATCAGATTCCCGCGGTGTCAGCAGGGCCTGTCGTTTACTATTGGACGATTTTGCCCACACTGATGGCCCCTTAGTTGGCGCGCCTGGTCCGTTCATTGGCCACATTTGCAACATTATGTGACTTGACCAATTACAAGGTTGCAACACAACGATGCTGGCAGGCTGCGCTGCGAGAGATTCTGGCTGTCTAGGTCGTGCTGGCAAGCATCCAGCCTCCCAGTCGTGCTACATGCCATCCAGCCTCACATCCCGTTCTGCTCCAGGCCTTCCATCGAACTGCTTGGGGTTTCATCGCGTTGCTGCCTTGTGTACCAAGAGGCAGTCAGCCGTGTGTTCTCTCTTCCTGGCAAACCTCTATCGTCAGGCGAGCTCGTTAGTCCTGTTAGATGCTGCTTGGTCGAGCTGCAATCAATGGCGGACCACCCAGATGCCATTGAACAAAGTGGTGACCACGGCAATAAAGCCGATCGTCGTGCGCCTGTTGATCTGTCCGCTGCTGTTACCGGACTGGATCTGTTGTTCTCCAATTTAGCGGCAGTTGATAACCATGGAAAGGCGCCGCCTGTCGATATTCCATTTGAACCCATCAACGAGCTTCTATGTCCCTCCCCTACTGCGCCCGTGTTGGAGCAAGACAGCTCCAACCCTTCAGTTGAAGAAACTGCGGCAGTACCAGTGGCTAAGAAGTCCGCCAGGTACATGCAGTCAACGCTGACGTGGGGCAAGAAAGGAGGTACCGCTGAAGCAACACCGTCTTCGCCAGCCGACCAATGGTTGACGCCCGCGACCGCAGGCACGCAGGCGTCGCCATCAACACCTGGGCCTTCTAAACCGACAGGGCCAGACGCAACTTATGCAGAGGCTCTGTATAAGTACAAAAGCGAGTGGCTAGATCGGTTTTCGTGGCTAATTCTGCTAAAAAATGCCGACGGTTTCCCTGCTTTCAAGTGCAGCATCTGTACGGAGCACGCAGGCTACGCTGGACCGTGCGGGAGAGGCGGAAAGGGCGCCACGGACGTTCAGACGCAGGCGTTCAAACGGCATGCGGCAACAACCAAGCACAAGGAGGCGTTTAAACACCAGGAGAAGCTCCTCGCCAAAGCAGTCTCGCAGCCACGGATCAACAGCGACAATCTCGCCCGCGACACGGAGAAGGAGCGTGCCATCAAGCTCCTCGACTCCCTGTGTCAGATATGTATGACTTAGTCTTTGTAGGCTCTAGTGGGGTAGTCACAAAGGGGTACAGGTTTCTAGAGTTCATATTTGTATCCAACATTTTCCTAGTTCAATCATTCCTCATTCTTCGCATGGTATAGAGCGGGTTCCCTAGTGGGACCGTTTCTTCCTAAGGGCCCACCTTCGATTTTTTCTTTTTTAGCCTGCCCGAAGCGCGCTTCGCGTCCTGCCCTAAAATTTCGCGGCCCCCTTAGTGGCCTGCCCCTTAACGGCCCCTTAGTGGCCCCTTCGCGGCCCCCTTAGCGCCCCCCCCCCTTCGCGGCCCCTTCACGAACCCCTGTCGCGACCCCTTAGCAACCCCTCGCGGCCCCTCCTAAGGCCCTTCGCGGCCCCCTCTTCGCAGCCCTTCGCGGCCCCCCTCACGGCCCTTCGCGGCCCCTTCGCGGCCCTTCGCGGCCCCCTCACGGCCCTTCGCGGCCTCGTCGCGACCCTTCGCTGCCCCCCTCTCGGCCCTTCGAGGCCTCTCCGCGGCCCTTCGCAGCCCTTCGCGGCCCCTTCGCGGCCCCTCCGCGGCCCCTTCGCGGCTCTTCGCGGACCCTTCGCGGCCCCTCCGCGGCTCTCCGCGGCACTATTGCCCCGTCGTCGCCGCCCCAGCAGCAGCTACCGTCGCGCCTGTTGCCGCTGCCGCTTCCGCCACGGCCGTTCGCCGCCGCTGCAACTGCCGTGACGGCCGCCGCCGCTGCTGCCGTGACAGCCGCCGCCGCTCCTGCCGTGACAGCTGCCGCCGCTGCTGCTGAGACAACCGCCGCTGCCGCAGCCGTGACAGCCGCCGCCGCCGTTCGTCGTGGCCGCCGCCGTTCCTCGGAGCCGCCGCCGCCGTCCCGGCCCTAGCCTGCAGCCGAGTCGCGGCCCTGCTCTGCCGCCTTGTCGCGGCCCTGATCCTGCCAGCGCACCTCGGCCCTGCCCCACCACTTGCGGGCTTCTACCCACCCGCCCCGGGTAAGCGCACCGCCGAGCCACGCCCCTGCTAATGCTGCTACTGCTAACCTGCTTCTGCTACTGCTTCTGCTAGCCTGCTACTGCTGCTGTTATGGCTAGTCCCAACGGTCTTACCTTTGATGCTGAGGGTCGAGCGGTAGACTTTGAGGTCTGGATAGATGATCTGCAGCTTTTCCTGCAGTGCGATAGCAAACACGACCTCTCACTGTTCGATCTCACGTCTGGTGCCTCTACTGCCCCTGCTGCCGATGCTGACAGTACTGTTCGCTCACAGTGGACCACACGCGATGCTGCTGCCCGTCTTGCTGTGCGTAGTCACCTGCCGTCCATTGAGCGCGCGCATTTTAGCCAGTACAAGACTGCTAAGACCTTGTACGACGCTGTAGTTGCGTGCTACTCCTCCCCTGCCACTGCTGCCCTCAGTTGCCTCATGTTGCCGTACCTGTTCCCTGACCTGGCCGCCTTTGCCACAGTCACTGACCTCATTACGCACCTCCGCACTAAAGACACCCGCTACCGCGCTGCGCTTCCTGCTAAGTTATGCGCCAAGAACCCCCCCCCCTATGTACATCACCCTCTACTACCAAGTCACCCGACTCCCTGACTCCCTTCGCTCGGTCAGGGACCACTTCCTCTCTGTTTGCCCCACCACACTCACTGTTGACCCGGGCATTGCAGCTGCTGCCCTAGGTGCTCGCGAGTCTGCTGCTCCAAGTACTAGTGAGTCTACTGCTCCAGGTGCTGGTGAGTCTGCTCTCTCAGGTACCACGTCTAGTCAGGCTTTGCACACCTTCACCCTTGACTCGGGTGCTTCGCGCTCCTTCTTTTGAGACCGCACCACCCTCACGCCGCTCAGTCAGCCGGTTGCGGTCTCCCTAGCAGACCCCTCTAGGGGTCCTGTCCTTGCCCACTTCTCCACTGTACTACAGTGTCCAGCGGCCCCGTCTGGCTCCCTGTCAGGTCTTTACCTCCCCTCGTTCTCTACGAACATGGTGAGTGGTGCTGACCTGCAGGATGGGGGAGTTGACCAGTTCACTCCTGCGAGTCAGCGGGTGACCCACTGTACGTCTGCTCGGACTGGCCGACACTTGGCCACGTTTAC